TAAAAAACTAGACGTAATTCTCTAAATCTTTCTGAGGGACGTGAATAACAAATAAACAAGTAGTTAATACCTCAAAACTAAATTTTCGTTTTCTAATTTGTCCACGCTTCTTTGCAATTTGTTGCATGATTTGACGTAGTCGGAGACTTGCTTTTCCAAAAATTTTAAGTTTGTTTTCATTTTCGAACTTTCCCTTAATATTAAAGATAGCTCGTGGTCTCCTTTTTTTTCTAGTTTATCAAATACGTTGTTCAACTACAAATAGCATTATTTTCAATCAAATTTATAAAAATCGTAGACTACGGAGTATAATGCGGGTTTGAAGAGGAGAATCAAGCCTTTCGCGGGAGAAAAAGAAAACAAAAGAAATGGTGTTTAAGGGATGTAGAAGTTAAGGTCCGATCTAGAAATTAACAATTAAGTACCAAATTATTTTTTCTTAACGAATCAATGTACGTTTTTGTTATTGCAAATTGAAATTTGGGTTTAGAAGAAATAGAGGATCGTGGGAGGCCATTCTAGCATTACGGGTAACAATAGAGAAAACGATAGAAAAAGGAAAGAGTGCGTACATAGGATTTGTAGATTTAGAAAAAACTTTTGACAATGTTAAATGGGACAAGATGTTAAATATACTTAAAAATGTAGGGATGAGTTACAAAGATAGAAGAGTGATACTTAGTTTGTATAAAGAGCAACAGGCAGTTATAGAGATGGAGCTGCAACGTAGAGAAGAAGATATTAGGAACGGAGTCACACAGGAATGCACACTGACACCGCTACTTTTTAATCTATACATCGAAGACGCAATCAAGATCATTAAAGACAGGACAACTGTAGGGATAGATATACAGGAACAGAAGATTAGCATGCTTAGATTTGCAGATGATATAACGGTATTAGCATATAGCAAGGGAGAGTTAGAGATAGCTTTAAATAAAATTGAAGCGGTATTTACAAAACAGTATTGTATGAAAATCAATAAATGTAAAACAAAAATACTTGTAAGAAAAAGTAGGGAAAGAGGGAATATAAAGATAGGACACGAAAAATTAGAAGAAGTGGCCGATTTTAGGTATCAGATAAGTGAGGACGGAAAGAGTAGTAGGGATATAAAGCAGATGATAGCGCAGGGTCGAGTCGCCTTTAATAAAAAAAAAGTCACTTCGCGAACGGTTAATCTAGAAATTCGAAAAAGATTGTTGAATGTGTATGCTAGAAGCGTTTGAAATGTGTTACAGGTGAATGATGAGGATACCGTGGATAGAGAATATTAGAAATGAAGAGGTATTAGAAAGAATAGGAGAACAGAGGACACTATGGAAGTCAATCAAAAATAGGCGAGATACGTTTGTAGGACACCTTCTCAGGCATGAATGGCTAGTATGAAGCATAGAGTAGAGGTAGAGATTGTTCTTGTTTTAGGGAAATGCGAAGATTAACTCAGGATAGGAAAAAGTGGATGTGCGTGTCCAACCAGTCTTAGGACTGACGACCTTATGATGATGATAATAACAGACTTATAGACGAAACCACCTTAGGTGGAATATCCTATATGTATACTTAAACGTATTAATTTTCCCTTGTGGAAAGATGCAACTTTAAGGGACTATATCTCAAAAAAATGAGCTTTTACCACTTGGAGCCCATTGAAATTTTTCATCTCAACGTCAAAAACTATCAGAAATCAATATTAATATATTTTATTGAACACCCCGTAGATTTAACTGAACAGTCGGTATACTAACCTCTTGCGTTTTTAATTCTAAAACTTCTTCCAAATATTCCACTTGTTTCTGTAAACTCAAACATCTCTCAGAGCTATTATGTTTTTCCACTTTTAGTTCTTTGTTAAGTTGTGAAAGCTCCGTCAATTTTTTTTCGTTGCTTTTTTTCTCTCTAGTAACTTCTTCTATTACTTTTGTCGTATGCTCCATTTCATCGGTGGCTGATCTCAGTTGTTTTTGCAAAAGAAAAATTTGCTCGTCTTTTTCTATCACACTTCTGTTCAAAACGTTGAGTTGAAAGCCTATTTTTTCGTTAATATCTGAAATGTTTGAACTTGGAGATGCTTTCGATTCCAATTGCGTCATCTCTTGTTGCAACTTTTTTATAATTTTATCTTTTTCATTCAGGGCTTCCTAAGAAATTACAATTGACTGTCGAAAAAATATGAACAAAGCTATATATGTATGTATTATTGTAAACAACCTTCCACTTTTCGTTCAGTTCGTCTACCAATTGTTCTGCCTGTTTTTCAATTTGTTGCTTTTCTTCGATAGCATCCTCGAAACGTGATTTTATTTTTTCATTTTCGATTTGCAAGGTATCAATTGTCTCTTTCATAAAAAAAGATAAAAATAGTTATACTTGTTAACATTACTTATCTACATAAAATTATTAAGAAATTTATTTTATAATCATTAACTCTTAATAAAGTCAAAAAATGCCCCCTTATGTAAATACAATGTAGAAAACTGCAAAAGCATAATTATCGAGTGTACTATACTCCAATTTATTTAATTATCATAATAGATATTTTATAATAAATACTAACGAAAATAATTCCAAAAAAAAGCCATCGCTGTTATGCATCTGTTAAAAATTAAAATTCAAATTTCGCACACCCTGAAGCAGCTTTTACTTTTACTTAGGAGTCATTTAATGGAATGCATATGGACTTAAAGAAATGGGAAACCTCATTTTAAATTACAAATTTAGAAACTCAGAGACATGGAAAGGTTCATACCTACCAATTTTGTCATTTAAATTAGCTTTACAGCTCGTCAACTCCTGTGTTAATGAATTCAAATGATTCGTAGCTTCGTCTAAATTGTCTCTTAAACTTGCCACCTTTTCTCTTAATAAATCATTTTCTTCTTCCATTGTCTGCAAAATCAAAAATACGAAATTTAACTTAATGAATAGTAACAGCTCGTTTGGTAAATAATCGTTTTTCAAAATTAAACTAAAGAAAATAATTCAATTCGAAATAATTTAATTTTTCTTCTATAATTCCGTATTATATTCTTCGTGGTTTTTTTGTTTTGAACAGATAGCGTATATATGGGATTCGTAGATCTAGAAAAAGCTTTTGACAGAATAAAATGCTATATCCTTTTTATTTCCGGAATAAAGTACCCATATAAAGTATTATACATAGAATTAGGTACCAACTCCAATTCCTTATCCACCCATGTGGGAAATGCTGGACTTGACGACAGGCCCAAATCTGAGCCAGTAATGGGAAGCCAAGCATAGACTTGTCAATAGTGGTCCAAAGTTCGGCCAATACTCAAATATCAACGGTAACATTTCGCCAAGTTTGATCCAATGCGGGGCACCCAAGCCCAATACTAGTCCAAAGTTATGACAAACTTCAAACACTTGTCTACATTTATTAACGTTTTGTCAACTTTGGTCCAATATTGGGCAATTATGTATGGATTTATCAATACTGGATCAAAGTTCGATAAAACTATGAGTGTCAAGGTTAGATATATAAACGTTTCGCCAAGCTATATCCAATACTGGACAACGAAGTATTGGCCACTATGGAAAGCGACCCATTTACTCAATCATAGATTAACTTTGTTCATCAAGCTGCCCAATTTTGACTTAATGTCGTTCACCAAGTCTTGGTACAATATTGGATGCCCAATTTTGGGTTAATATAGCTCAACAATTCTTGGCCTAATATTAGTTACCGAATTTTCGGCTAATATTGTGCATTTGGGCTAGTATTATGCATCATGTCTTCGTCTAATATTAGCTGTCCAGTCTTGGGTCAGTATTGTTCACCAAGTCTCGATTCAGCATTTGCTATCCAGCCTTGCATCAAGTAAAGCCAGTCGGGCTTAAGCCGAAGTGACATGCTTGGTCCAATATTGGTTGTCAATCTCAGACCAGAATTGAACAATCTTGGGCCAAGGTTGGAACCCAACTTGGCCCTGTCGTTTCTACTTCTACTTCTCCCCATCTCACCCTTATCATTTGGCAAACATCTCACACATTGTTTAAGATTGTTCTCATAAGAATAAGTAGGAGAACAGAAAACGTAATGGATGTCAACATGAAATAGGCAAGATAAGTTGGTAGGACACCTCTTCAGACTTGAAGGGCTAGTCAGAGACATATTAGAATCAGGAATTAAAAGAAATAGAGGAAGATTAGATAGTAAACAGTTACGAAATGTAGGTTACGCTACTTTTCGAGAAATGCAAAGATTGACTCAAAATGGAATGGAGATCCAACGAGTAATCGGGCTGAAGACGTTATAACGATGATGATGATAACAAGTTAATTAAAATTAATTAGATATTAACTTATTTACGTAGAATTTAATATCATTTAGAAATTTGGATCATTGTAAAAAACATTTTTTCGTTATTCATTCAATTCTCTGAAAAATATAAAACGATCAGGTGTTTAACTTACTTGAATATCTTTTAAAAGTTGAGAAATTTGATCGTTCTTTTCGTGAACTACTCTTAACAATTCCGCATGTCTTTCTTTTATTGTTTCGGAAACATCGGATGAACTTTCTTCGTCCGATTGTTTACTCTGAAGTTCCTTAATTAGTTCAACTTTTTCGTTTTCGATTTCTTTAATCCTCTCATCCATCTTAAAATGAAAGTAATTATAAGAAGCTGCTTACGTACTTAAACAAGAAAAACTCGAAATGAATTTTTCACTCTCAGAATTTACAAATTAAGAAATGCTCTTTGAATTGTTAGTATCCATATTATTTAGATTTTTAATANCACTTGTTATTATTTTTGGCTAAATATGCTTTTAAATAAAGCATATTCTTAAATTTTAACGAGGCAGTTTAAATAATTTTGCAAATGGTACTGTACACTTTTGTCTAGCTCTCGCTCGATGATCGGTAAAGAAATGAGCTCCGCAGACAAATATGATTGAATTTGGAATTATGCTACGGCGCATCCTAATGAAGGGAAGGGACATATCTCTAACTTCTTGAAACGAACAGTACCTACCTTATTTTGTTATTTAAAATGTAATCCAAGCCCTCAACTTTTGCTTTTTGTTCCGCCAAAATTTTTCTACACTCGTCATAATTCTCTTTCGTTTCCTTCAAGTCGTTCTCAGTTTCTTCCAGTTTCTTCTTATGTTCATTTTCAGCCATCCTTGCAAGGACAACGTCCGAACTAAGACGGGCAAGCATCGCCTTTTCATCACTCATCGATTGTAAATCGACCAGTTGATGTTTTAGATCCAAAATTTCCATGTCCTTTCGTTGTTGCTCATAACGGTCAGAATTCTGCTCCTTCATCAGCAACAGTTCATCAGTCAACTTCTTGTTATCGTGAATTAACTTTTCCATTTTATCAATTGTCCTGGAGTACTTCTGTTGTATATCGCTGAAGTCCTGAAGAGATGCGTTATCGATGATCTTGTCCTCGAGGTCTTTAAGGTCCTTTTGGAGAGTTTGATTTCTTTCGACCAATTCCTTCGAGTATTTCTCGCTTTCTTTGAAACGCTCTTCCAATTTCTGCAGTTGCTCTTTGACTACTTCGTACAAATTCGTCATGTGGTTGGCTCTCTGTCGTTCACTAATTTCATTTACCTCACATTGAGCTAATTTATTGGAAATAGTCTTCAAATCGTTGTCGCCACGTGCTACTTCCTCTTCCGTAATTTTTGATAATGAATCGACCAACTTCAGCTGAAGTTCTCTTTTCTCATTGTTGAGCTCGTCAACAGTTTTGGACAAAAGTGAAAGAGCATTGTTGTGGTCTTCTTTGAACTTCTTCAGTTCATCTAACGAGCTCCTGTATTTGATTGTTAAATTGTCTAAATTGTTTCTGGTGGTTACAAAAGTTGCATTGTCGACTTTTGCTTCACTTTCTTTTGTTAACATGTCACATTTGCTTTTTAACAGTTTTATTTCGGATGTCATTGTTTTGATTCTAAATAATGCATTTTCTTCTGATAGTTGAAGCTCGTTTTGTAACCTGTTTAATTGCTTTCGATTGATTTCATCATTGTTTTCTAAAAATAAGCATTTTCGGTTCAAAACGACCAGTTTTTCTGCCAATTCAACTGTCCTTTCGTCTCTGTCCACTTCCCCCACTGATAGAGTCGAATAATCGTCCAATTTGGCCTCCAAAACGGCAACTTTTTCCATTAAGGGATCTCGCTCATTATTCCATTCATTCTTCTCTTTTTCCGACACGCTTTTTTCCGATATGTACTGGTCATATAAAATTTTTAATTGAGCATCAACTATTGAAAAATCTTTTTTGAATTTGTTCATAGATTCGACCAATTGCGAGTTCACATTTTCGATCCTTGTACAATCCTTAATAATTATAATTATCGAAAGTAGTGATGGGTTTATATAATATATTTTCCACTTACCCTAATGAGAGAAACCAACGTTTTATTTAAATAAGAAATGAGTTTTTCCGTTTTTCCTGAAACGTGTTCAGATAAATCGATGTCCTCAGCCGAATAAATTTCCGTTAATTCCTCGCTAAAATTCCCATCTCCTTGCCCACCTCTGCCAGACCTTAATTTCAATAGTTCTAATCTAAAAGGTAAATATTTAAGATAAGAATAACGCCTTACCGTACCTGCCTCTCAGAAAATCAATTACATAATACCTCCGTCCTATGAAAAGATCTAAGTGTGTCAAAAGCTTCCTGTAAAACTGACATGAATGGGGAATACGTTTACCCAGTTATTTAAATTAATACCGTTTTAGCAGGAAGATATTAAAATTTATTTATAATGTTTCTAAATTTGAATTTGAAAATTACAATCTAATTTTGTAATATGCAAATTGTTATATGGAATTGACATTAAAAAAAATTTTATTATAAATTTGTGTAGGCGTGAACAAAACAGTACTGTATGAAAATAAATAAAAGTAAAACAAAAATACTGATATGCAAAGGAAGAAAAAGTAGGGAAAGAGCGAATATAAAGATAGGAGACGAAAAATT